ATCTTAAATTCTACTTTTTTACGTAACACTCAAAATGAATCGGATTCTTTTATTTTGATGATTGATTTAATATTTCATAGTTTATAGGAATTTAATTATATATCAATATTATTTTCAATAATTGACATTGTTCTGTACTGTGTTAAATGACATGAATTTATTTTGAACAGATTGTACTGTAAAGCGGTCTTTGTCGGATACAGACGTGGTCTTCGTAATCAGCACGAAAATACGGCACTCTTAAAAATAGAAGGCGTCGTCACTAGAAAGGAAACAAATTACTATCTTGGAAAGAGATGTGCCTTTGTTTATAAAGCTAAGAAGTAAGTATTGTTTCATTTATATACACTTTGATTTGCTTTTAAAATTACTTTTTTTTTAATTATTGTAAAAGTAACTTGAACACTTTACCATAAATTTCCAAGAATTACCAATAGGTTGTGTTTGTTTTAGAGTTTATCTGAAAATGGTTGAATCAGATATCTGTTGGTTTTAAATTGCAATTATAACTCTATCCAACAGATTTTCTGTTGTCTAAACTTGCAGTCACTTTAAACTTCGTGAAGAATCCTTTACACATTCATTGCTATTTTTTAGAAACCACCAAAGTCACATACACATACATCTCAACTTCAATTATCTCTTGCTTTTTGTGCAACTTACATTTGAACTGATTATTACACACACTTTATTTAAATTTGTTTTATGAATAATAAACACTTTTAATTTCTACTTAGACAAGTAAGTAGAAATTGAAATTGATTTAACTCATTCTTGTTCATTTTACTTTTATGGTACATTGTGTAGAAAATGGCTTTTTAATTCAGTTTAAATATTTGAAATAAAAAAATGCAGATAAAATATGAATTACTTTAAGTCTTAAATTTATATTAATCATTTAAGTACACCTTTTTTTGTACAAATGGGGAAGTAATTTATTAATATGATAAAGTGATCATGCACCATCAGATGAGACTGATAGTGGTAAAAAGTTAAAAGTTAATCTTTCTATCTCAAACTATAAGAGACAGGAAAAAAGTTAATGAGAATTATTAGGAAATGACATATTATAGAAACAGATGGTGCAAAAAGAAGGCTGAAAATGCTATGCATAATGTGCAGCATTTCCTGCCTTTGTATGGAAGCATACTGCTTGTATAAAAAAGATGTAGCTATGACACCATTCCTAAAGATAAAATTTGCATGTAGGCAATGTGCAAATGGTTGTTGGAGAGTTATTTGAAGAACATTGCATGACTGCAATGTGAAAAATATGCATAAAATGCTAGGGAAGCTGCATGGTAGTATTCATTACAATATCTTTGCATCCCACATCTAACAACATGGACTATTTTTGAGCTGTTTGATCTCCAGCTCCCAGTCCAACAAATTGAAATTAAATAACAAAATCTTTTTAAAATTAAATTCTAAATGCTGATATTAGATTACTTTAGAATTTAATAATTTTAAATAGACAACAAGATAAATATTAAATTAAATACAAAAGGAAAAATTTAATGGTTCAGAATCTACAGAAGTTGTAAAGAACTTAATTTTTTTTTTTACACTTTACATTTTGAGTAACATTTAAACAATACAACAAATTAATGAAAACTTATATTTTACTACAGTAATAGAGAGGTTGCGGCTGTCATATTTAGCCCAAAATGTGAATGGCGGACGGTCAATAATGGTGTTTGCTACATCTAGCATTGCAAGTAGAAGATCAGTTTAAACTTCTTCATTTTTTTTTGTGTTTGGAGTTAAAACTGTGACCTATTTTATTAAAATAATGATTATTTAAGGATTTACTAATAATAATGTAAAAAAATAGACAATTTTAATCCAGAAATTATTTAATTATTCAATTTTTTAGCAAGTGATGTGAAGTGCCTATAGAATTTACATGTATTTGCCTTCATAATAGCTTATCTTAAGGCACATTTGTTCTTCCACGGCATCTTCTACCATCAACAGCGTAATACGTTTGTAAATTTTCTAAAAATTAATTTTCCAAGCTGCTTTCGAATTTACATAAGCCACTTCTTCCCTCGACAAAAGTATGAGGGGTCCTATTGTTTAATTGTACAGTAGGAGACACCACGCTAATTAGAAATAATTGTTTAGTGTTATTAAACATCCTATAAATACTTTAAAATAGTTTAATTTGTTTGAGGGTTACCAGCGAAAGTAAATAATGTTAAATGTAACCACCATTTTATCAACAAATTTCTCGTGAGTCAATGTGCAACGTTCGCCGAGTCGCATGAGGATGTGAACATGCGCTGCAGCGATTTTTTCTTGGAGTTAAAATGTACAAGTACTGCTTGCCGTGTACAAGTAACATTTGAACTTGCACCGCAACCTCTGTAATAATGTTGTCATCTTGCTGCCACTTACCCAGTCTGGTATGTCATAGGAAAGAATAGTGATGACCATACCAGGTCTAATCTCGCTGTGACACACACATCACTTATAAATGATAGAAATGGGCATGCTCTTATTACAGTACAAATGGAATAAAAAAAATATTTGTGGCCCACCTAGGATTGTAGAATTAATGGGATAAGACAATACAACAGGTAGATTATCTTCTAAGAGGGGATGCCTCCAGGAGGAATTTTCTATGGGAACTGGTCCATGTTTAGGTGTTAGATAAGTGAAGAAACCACATGGCCAACTCGTTAGTGAGGTGCAAATCTTTCACCAGCTAACATTGTTCAGTTGTTTTGTTCACTTGGGCATTGGTGAGCATGACCCACCTACCTATGAAATACACAATTTGGCCCACTAATTGAAAAGTTTGGGCACCACTGGATAGCAGATAAGACTGGTAACCCCAGAAAAGAATTATATATTTTTTTAAAAATTAAGTTTTAAATGTGAAGATATCTTTGAACTTTAGTATATTTTATTTTTTATTCTGTGTGCCACAGTACAAGGCTTGATATTTTTGAGTCAACATGAGATTAATAACAAAACAAAATCGTTTTTTTTTTTTGTGTGTG